AACGTCTCCACCCAGTTTGACACAGGCTTCTAACCTGTTTCTGACAGTTGTGTGACAATTCAAAGCAAAAGGTTAACAGAGAAATCAATTACCTTGTTGTATACAATGATAAAGTCACCCAGTTGATGGGCTAGGATTCTTCTGCGTTCTAGAAGTGCCAATCGTCGACTGGGTAATACCATCCTGAGGGAATGTTGGAGGTTACTTGATGCTCGCTTTAGGAAACGAACCACCAGCTCCTAAAAATTAAGAGTTATGGGAGGAAAAAAGGAACGGATTATGCTAAGCAACAGAAGACAAGCTATGAAGGGATTATATAACAGAGATGTGAGAAGAGATATATTACACATTTCACCAAACAAAACCCAGAGCAAACATGGTAGGTATATGAAGGATATACAAAGTTAAAACAAAAGAAACTTACTCTTCTCCCTCAATAAGGTGGCAATTAGAAAATAAAAATCAAATATGTATGCAAATTATTATGTAATAAAGCAGTAGTCGTATTATAATAATAGTGCAATAATAATTCAAAGAGTAGGTATCATTTCTAATAGGATAATCAGAGGGAACTATTTAGGGAAGATAGCATTCAATGACAGGTTGCAGAAACTAAAATCATGGAAACAGATAAAATCATCAAAGGTGAGAAGGCAGAAAAAGAGGACAGAAATATTCATATTTATGAAAGAGAATGAAGATTCAGGAAAAAAAAAAAAAAAAGGTAGAAACATCCAAAATGAAGGAAGAAATCTAGTATTAAATAGTGTCACAGAGGCTAAGGGAGGAAAGGGTTCCAAGTCAAATGCTTCCAAGAGGCTGGAACTGGAAAGACCACTACTCAGACAAGGCCCTGGATGTGGCATTGAGGGTAATTCCAACAGAACATTTTCAATAAAGAGAGTAAAAGGAAGGTATTAGGAAAATGTATGGGTAAAGAAGAATGTAGGTAAAGAATAGAAACTACTCATTAAAAAAGGTTAGTGATAAAGAAAAGGAAAGAACTGTCATAGTAGCTTGAAAGGTAATGCCTTTTTTTCCCTTCCCTAAGGATAAGGGAGCTTTCAGAGGTGAGGGTTGGCAAGGAGGGTACAATGGAAAGTCATTAAGAGAAAGAAAGAATATGTCTCCCTTAAGATGGGGCCAAAGGATTTTGATATCTGGACAGATATCAATCAGATGACTGATAACATTATAAAGGCTTCAAAGAGAGATTTTGTAAGGCCAAGAGCCTTAAAGATGTTTTATCCCTATAAGCACAATAAAAACTGGTGATAGATTTTGTTGATGTGCCTTTTGTGAGCGATAAGATAAAGAAACACTAACCCAGACCAGAGAGGGCAACTCTATATCTACCTTGCTCAAAAGCAAGACCACTGCTACAATCATTAGGAATGGGTCAGGGTCTGTTAGATACAGTTTCAAGAAGGAATTCACAGAACTGGTATTAAGTTTTACAGTGATGATCCTAAATATTCTTGAAGAAAGCCCCACAGAAATACCATGTGAATTCCAAGCCAGCATTTGCGGTGGTTATTCTTTTCTCAACTATTTTTTTCCTCTTGAATTTGATATTGGCTCATTGTCCTTTGGTGCCAATTTACTTCAGCATAAATGGAACAGCCTCATAACCAGAGAGTTAGATTTCATAGTTCTACTCATCTGCCTTTACCATAGGGTGGGTTAAGCTATAATATTAAAACATTATTTTTTCACAGTGGAGCAGACAAACTGACTCTTAAAAATGCAGTTTCAATTTTCCACTTGGAAAGAGCAGAACTAACATTTTCCACTGATGGTTGAAGGATTATTCATAACACACAAGGTTTTATCTCTGAGTTATATTGATTACTTTAAATTTACAAATTGTTTTCTGGGATAACCAACATGTTCTTATAATATGCCTGGCATAAAGACCTATCTTTTGTATGTGGAAGACTACTAATTATAATAAGGTCACCACTGGCTAGAATAAAGGATGAAGCTGCCTCAGATTTAAAGGTCTCTCTTTTTTTGGTGACCGATCCCTGTTGTTAAAAAGGTTATGGAAAGGCTGTGGCTTCTTCTATAAGCTCTGACCTTACTTGAAGCTAGAAGCTCTGTGTCAAAACCCTTCCTAGATGATTAAATCCCAGGCTTGCTTAAATAACTGATACCCAGCAAAAATTATCACACATTTGATTCCAGTAATCTAAGAATCCTATAAAGTTACAACTAGTAAAGAAAATATGTCAAGTTAGAGGACAGTGTGTTATGACAAGGTGTTGACTTTCAAAGAGCTAACTTGACTCCTCAGGACAGAAAATAAATGCCTTATGAAACATGAGAACAATAGAATAGTGAGTAACGTACAATCATAACATCTAAGTTCAAGTTCCAGCCTCACCACATACAAGCTGTAGAATAACAGACTTGGCTTCTTCAGGTTTTTGTTTCCTTATCTGTAAAATAGGTAAGCTAATGCCTACCTCAAAGACTTAATAAAATGTGAGATTGCTTGAGAAAGAAATGTAAATTGTTATTCTTTTTGAGAGCTTTGCACAGGGCTTAACATCAATTAGAAATCAATTTCCATTTCAAAGTGAAATAAATTGATGTCTTCACTACATGGTTCAATGAACATGGCTCCAGATTTGCTTCACATTAGAATAAGAGAAATCTAGAAACTTTATAATAATCCTTTCACCAGAAGAATATATTGCTTTTTATTCTAATAGGAAAAAAAAGGGGGGAGGTAGGGAAGAAAAGGAAAAGGGAAAGTAAAAATGTTCCAATAAGAAGAGCCTCACCATCTGTTCATCCTCTTTGGCAGCCCAGCTGGCACTGAACGTCTGACCTCCACTGTCTTTCATCAGGCGAATCTGAACATGCTGGAGATAGGCAGAGAATGCTATTCGGGCCTGCACTTTGCTATAGAAATCCAAAACAATACACCGTTAAGAGAGAGAATTGTAAGCCTATCAAATGTGTACTTGCCTCTCTCAACGTGGCCTTTGAGGATACTTCTATTAGAATGGCTAAGAAGTAGGAAGCCCATGTTATAGTCCTAAATAAAAATTCCTTCTAAACAGTACCTGAGGTTTAAAATTGTTTTTCCTATTAAAAGAATCAGAGATGGAAAATCCTATTTATTTTCTCTTCTTAACATGGGGGAAGAAAAACAAGAAGAGAAACTCAGGTTTCCTTTCCATCACATTATCTTTCTAAACTTTTAAACAACTGTCTTGGGAGAAAGAACAGGAGAAGTACTGAATCTGCACAAGAACCACTGTACTAATGAGAAAAGGTTTTTTCATCAGAAGTCCTCAAGAACATACGTATCGGTTAGTGGAAAAGTATGGATTTTGCTATGGTAACTAATATTTCTAGTGTATAAAAACATCCAAAGCAGGAAATAGATAAATTCTACAAAGGAACTTTTAAGGCTAAAATTTAAGGTCATGCTTTTCTTAACTGCAAGACAGTAATGGCCAGAGCCCAGAACGAGTGCGTGAGGTCCAACAGATTTGGCACAGATGAACTGATGGGCCAGGACAAGCTCAGATGTTCAGTGGGAGAAAGAAACCTTAAATATGGTGAAAGGCACCTCAGCAACACCACTGAAGAACCCATCTGTTTTCTGCCTGGTGGTCTAGGCTGGAAACAAGGAATCCCGATCAAGCTAGAGTCTGGACGACAGAGACACTGACGATTTTCACTTCAGCTGCCAATTGTGGCAGATCTGTTTTCTTTCAGGCGAGCTTTTGGTTACTTCAGCTGATCGGCTTTCTGACACTGTAGCCAAAATTACATCAGTGAAGATTAGGGCCCAACACAAACTTTGTTTACAATCCTCACACATGCAATCACTGAAGGCTTTCTTCTCACTATTCCCCCAAGGTTAAGATGAAGAACTTGTCCAGAGTAAACTGGAATCCTAAGGGCCCAGTCTAGCTTCCCCTTGTGTGTTGGAGAACTGAAGGGGAGGGAAGTCAGGTTGAGGAGTAGATTTGCTTTTGAGAACTTAATGCATAAGCGCTTCAGAACATTAACTATAAATAAGGCTAGATCTTTCTTACTAATAGGGATCATTTATAGGAGTACAGTATGACTTTGAAACAATAAATCTGCAATTCCAAATATTTCTCAACAAAGACAGTAAGTATATTCTTGTTTACCTATAAGGCATATGCTGCTACCCCCTCAACCATTCCCATAAGCGTCACCTCTACAACAGATTATTTTTAAGTCAAAATAAATTAAAAAGATCCTCCACTTTGTTCAATGAATTCATTTGTAATAAAATGAACAAGAAATAGCATATTTCAGATATCTCCAAATGTTGCTACATATTCAATTTCATTGTTCGATCCCTTTATACTAAAATATGAAGGTCTTATGGATCAGGGAATTATTAATCCTAGCTTGAGACTTTAATTGTTGTTTTATCACAAATCATTGTTGCAAATCAAATGAACAAGTACTCAGTTTTCCACTTCTAGAAACCTTATTAATGAGATTCCTGGGGTGTTAATTCTGAGATTGCTTCTAAAGTCCTAGACATATTGGTCAGCTAATCAGCCGTGACAAACAATCAAAAAAAGATGAAAAAGTATCAACCAAAATGATTTCCACTAAAGAAACCTATTTTTAAAAAACAAAGGGTTATGTAGATCTTCAGTATATAAAATATATAACAAGGAGGCTGTCCTTAAGAGTCTTAAACCCTTACCATAGACCTTTCCCCAAGCCCCTCCTTAACTCCTGACATACCCCACAGGATAATGGGAAGCTTCATGGAACACAGTAGTAAAACCATTTAATTTATATTAGCACAACCTATAATTAATCAGTTTACTCATGCAAAGTGAGATCCATTAAGATTTATGAAAAAAATAATTTATTTCTACAACAACTAAGGAGAATGTTACTGGTATTACTAGAAAGGATCTCAGAATATAGTCCAGTGGTTTTCAGATGCTCTGTTTTCAATTCAGTGGAATCTTTATTTCCCTCCAGGAAGTACTCTGAAACATAGTTATCTCACTCCCTATCTTGGCTTGACAGAAAAAGAGGCCTAGAGAAGCTCTTTGACTTGCCTATGATCACATAGCCAGTTGGTAGCAGTAAAACAGTCACAGCCCAGGTCTTCTGAATGAATTCTGTGTGTTCTCCACTAATGAAACTATTTTCATTCTCCACAACACTGTTCTAAACCTTCACTCTGTCCCTCCAGACCCGAATGTCACTCTCCCATCCTTCAGTATAAGAACTGGCCTCTAAGTTAGAAAATAAAGGCTGTTGAGCATAAATACCTGAACTTCCTTGCTCTTCAGCGTCTACCACTGCTTTCATCTCATAGTCCTTTCTTTCTGACTTACAGTAAGTGATACCCCACACTGACCTCTTTCCACTTTCCTTTAGGACCCTTCTCTACTGGCATATCCGTATCTGTACCTCTAATCCTCTTCTCATCAAACCCTTCCCCTTGGTTGATAAACAGGCTCCAGAATCCCTATATTTAGCTGCTTCTCTCCCTCATGCATTCTCATCTTCCTTTCACTGCCAAACGCTTTGACAGTCAGTGCATATTTGCTTTCTTATTTTCTCAGCTAACAACTGCTCTTCCATCTATTTGGCAGGCTCTAGGCCACAAGTCTCTTTACACTGCTTGTCTTTAGGGGCTGTCGGAGGCACTCTACAGACTTCAAACTCTCATCTTGTAGTTTTGCCACATTGCTCCCTCCCAGTTTAATGCCTATCTCTCTGATTACTATTTCTTGGTTCTTTTTTATTGATTTATCCATTGAACAGTGGTATTCCCCAGAGCTAAATTCTCTTCCTCTCCTGCTTTCTGAAGCTAATAGAATTGAACAATCCTATCTATTTCGAAGGCTTTAACTATCAACTATTTTCACCTGTCTGCTGGACTTCAACCCAGACTCCCTCCTCACTGAGTCCCAAATGAAACACATTATTTCTGGCTTGGTGCCCACAGCTCAGTGGTGAGGGCGTGGACCACATATACTGGGGCTGGTGGGTTTGAACCCCACCCAGGCCTGCTAAACAATGACAAAAAAAAAAAAA